CCATGAAAGCACGACCTCCTTGGTCTTATCCACTGCTACCTCTCCAGTGCCTAACACAAGTTCTGCTCAGGAAGGCCTCAATAAAGAGCCTGACAGCTCAAAGGTTAGCCACTAACATCAGAAACACGATTCTGTCATCAGCCTCCTGTCCAGGTGTTTCTCAGGTGTTTGTTGACTGACTAACAGACGGTCCTCTAAGGACTTAGGTTCTTCTGTAGAGATACACCAAACCTCTTGACCAGCAAACTACCCCACTGGCCTCCATCCACCCAACTATGCCAACTATCCAGCTTTCTCCCTGGGTTCTCGGCCTCGGTACCCTCCTTCTGACTTCAGCTGTGGTATCACCCCTGGGGCCTGCCCTGGTGGTACCCTAGCTCAGAAATGCCCAGCCCTGGCCCAGCTTTCTGGGCCCTTCACGGCCAGCCTCCTGTATCCCCCCTGTATCCTCCTGTATTCCCCAGCACACACAGCCTCAAGCCTCCGAGCCTTTGTCCATTCTGTTCCCTCTACCAGAAAGGAAGGCCTCTGCCCTCTGGCTGGCATGTGGGGCCTTTCAATACTCGTCCCAGATGGTCCACCTTTCCATGCCTCTTTCACGGGCAGGTCCACACACACAGGCTTTGTCACAGTGGGGTCAAAACGGGGGTCCTCTGGGCCAAGGCCTGCCTCTAACCACTAACTTGTCTCTATGAGGCAGCCAGCACAGGGCTCCTCAGAAAGGGACTCAAGGAGACCATTCGCCACTGGACAAAGGACCAGGCTGCCTTCTCCCACTATGCACAAAGTTCTCAGTTTCCAGCCCTGAATTCCAGGCCACGCCCATCACCAGGATCCTGTCCCTAGCATCTTCCGCTAGCAGAGCTTCCAGCCTTGACTCCTGTGAGCGGGGATGCTCAGCCTGACCCCAGGCAGCCCCTCTTCAGCCTCTTCAAGGAAAGCCGGCGGCGACGGAAACGGGTGCCCTGCCTGCTCCCCACCCCCACTGCCCCAGCCCCGTGTGGGGACCTCAAAACCAGATCTGCTCCCTTACCTAATGCTCGCCCCCTCCACACCAGACCCAGAACACCCCCTCCCTTCCACCTGGAGTCCAGGCTGCTCCTTTGTGTACCCCGCTTGAATCCACCCCCACCTCTCCTCTCCCTGAGTCCCAAGTTCCTCATCTCTAAAACAGGGAGGGATATCTAAGATAATGATGAAGACTGTGAGGAGGAAGGAAGACTCCATCTAAGGCTGCTCCCACAGCACTTTCACAGTGTTAGGAAAACCGATTCTCTACCACGTGAGCTGCAGGGATCAAACCCAGGTCATTAAGCTTGCTGGAAAGCACCCTGACCAGCCGAGCCAGCTCACCAGCCTCCTTTTGGTTTTATTTTTTGAGGGTCTCACTCTGGCCCAAGCTGGTCTGAAACTCAAGGCATTCCTCCTGCCTCAGCCTTCTATGTGCTGGGATGGCAGACATGAGGCCCCACAACACCCAGCTGGTCCGCTTCCACCCTCAGGTTCCACTGAACGGCTCGAACCACTTTGTAGTTCATAATTAAAACAAGGGTAGACGTAGCGAAAGTCAATATTGGCGGAGCGGGAATCCCTCTCCGTGGCTTTTTTCTTTCTCTCCTAGGAAGACACACATTCAGCCCGTACAAAGACTTCCGGGGCCCGCCTCGTGTTAAAGCGCTGTGTGTCAAGCACACGGGAGCCCTTTGATGCTGAATAGCTGTTCTTAATATTATAATTATTGTCATCAGACTCAAGAAAGCCAATTGACACTGTTCCCAGCTGCGGTTATGATTATATATGTACATCACATCACACCGCCAGGCCAAGAAAAACAAACCCAAGAGACAGTTTGCACCCGGCATAAGCAAACACACTCAGGTAGTGTCACTCTGTCTGGCACTAGCCTCCATAAATAGACAGACTCCAAGCCCCCTCTGGACTCAGTTCCTCCCGAAGCAGCTTCATCCCCGACATTCACACCCTGGTACCTGCACACATGTGGTACCTTTCCCGTGTGCTTCTCTTTGTCACAACTGCGTAAGACGCGTGCTGTGAACCCACCATAAACAGACCATAGTAGAGAGTGTCCTGCTTACAATGCTGATACATGCATGGGGTGTGTATCATTTAGTTAGATGATCGTCCCGAATCTGGGCTTGTGGGACAGTTTGGGAGTCATCTGCTCGTCACATGTGCCTCCCTTTCAAACACAAGTTTCTTCCGAGCGTCACTAAATAGGAGCATCCCAACAGTGGTCTGGGGACGGCTCCTTCAGCTTCCAGGGTGCAGTGCACGGCCTTTGCTGACTGTGCAGCTGTGGGGTGTCTGTCCGGCACAGCTTCTGCTCTGGATTCACTCTCTTTCACTCCCGTCCTGACAGTAACCCTGGGAGTGCAGCCTGGGTTTCTTACAGGCCCTGGTGGCTTGGTTGTCAAGGGCAGGAAGACAGGACGTGGTCTCTGCAGACGGAACGGGGTTGATTCCTTGATCTGGTGGTTGTCTAGGGGTCCTGGGGCTGGGGAGCCTTATAAACCCATCTCTTTGCCACTGGGTTAAGACACGGTGCTTAATTGTATGTGCTGGTGCCCTGTGACTTGTAATTATCTCCTAAGTGTTGACAGATTCCTCTCATGCTGTTTTGTTTCCTGCCTACTTCAAACTTGAGTCACACAAACGAGGGAAAGAAGGGGGGGGAGACATTAAAAAAAAGAAAGAAGCCCTCAGAAACAGAAGCGATCCCCAGGGTCTGGGAATATTCTGGCAAAACAGTCCCCTTCAAGGGCCAGTTCATTTTCGTTTTGTTTTCTCGCTCACATTCTTCCTCCCTACCCCCCCCCCATTTCACGTGTTTACTTATTTCCAGCAGGATCTTACTCTGCAGCTCTAGGCTGGCCTCAATTTTTCAGCAACCCTCCTGCCTCTCAAGAGCTGGGATTACAAATATGAGCCCTCCCATATTCATTCTTAAATATGCTTAAACAAAGTCTACTTATGAAAAAAAAAAGAATTCTTAGTCATTATTACTTCTTGCTACTGTATCTATTTTCTTTTTATTAACTTTAAAAAAATGATGTACTCTGTGTGTGTGTGTGTGTGTGTGTGTGTGTGTGTGTGTGTGTGTGTATCTGTGCATGTGAGTGCGGGTGTCCACAGAGAGGTCAGAGGAATTCTATCCTCTTGGAGCTGGCGTTACAGGCAGTTGTGGGCCACCTGATGTGGGTGGTGGGGATCACTCACCTCAAGTCTTCCAGAAGAGCTGTAAGTGCTCTTAACCACTGAGACTGTGTCTATTTTTAACTAATGCTTCTACGCATTTCTGCCAACTTTGAGCTCGGTGGCCTTTCTCAGGTCTAGACCCTTAATTCAGAATAATAAAGTGCCCCAGTTTCTTCTACATGAATCCCAGGCACTCACATGAAAGCTAGATCTAGCTAGCTAAACACACACCCTCATGATCCTAGGGCTGGAGGTTGAGGCAGAGGCAGAGGACTGCCAGGCTTGGCTGGATACCAGACCAACTCCCAGCTCAGCCAGAGACTAAAGTAGACAGGACGGGACAGATACCCTCTGGCCTCCATACTTGTGCTCATATACATATGTGTATAAACCAGACACACATACCACCTACCTCTCACCACCCACCCATGCATGCACATAATGTCTTGGGCAGGCATGCAGCTTAGTGGTAGATGCTTGCCTAGTATGCCCAAGGCCTTGGGTTTGATCCCCTGAACCACAGACACACACAAAAATGCTTTCTAAATGTAAAATTCCTCTCTCAACTAAGTATACGGGATAAACTAAAGGCCCTGAAGTGAGCCCTGCTGTGTGCATCATGTCTTTAGACAGTGAGTGGCATGCATAAGCCCTGAGTGGCAGATTCTATTCCCCCTTTGATCTTACTGCTTCTTACAGTGGACTGGGCAGAATTATGCGGTCCTGTCAACAGGCCTCTGGGCCCACTCACATTTGCCTTAAGGCTTCTGCTCTGAACAGCAGGTCAGAAACTTCTGGAATCTTCCTGAAGAACGTCAAGTGAATGAAGCCTGAGAGAAGCCTGGAACAGACCTCAGTTCCTTGTGTTTCGAATGTGACACCAGCCCAAGGTCAGACACTGCCTGAGACTTTGGTCCAGATGAGGGCAGCACAGCCCAGTCGACTGACAGACATGGGGTTAGAGGACAGGAATTGTCACCAAGGTGAATGAAGCTAATCTCATTATGGTTAATATTTCATTTTTTAAAAGGGCCCATGAGAAGCAGCCTCTACTTGGTCTGTCTCCGACCCTTCATTTAGGAAGCTATATTTAACAAAATAGAATAAAACAGTCTCCAAATAGATGACCTGCTTCACTTAACCCTTCAGATCCATGTGGGAGGAGGGCTACAGAAATTTCGCACCCCTATCTGCTAATTATCAAGGAAAATTTAAAATCATACCTCGCTCAGAAACAACACATATGACTGACCTCATGTACAAACCCACACAGAACAATTGCAGTGCTGAGCAGGGTCCCTCTCTGCTCGAGTGAGACCCCCTCCTTTCTACCATCATTAGTCCCATAAGTAGGCTCAAAAGGAATCTGCTCTCCTTCCTAACGGGATATAATTGTCTAAATCAAATTTGTAGCCGTGACCATGCCAGAAATGTCACATTTAAAGACAAATCTCATTTAATTAGGCATGACAGTACCTCGTGAGAATGAGGCTGCCTTGGCACAAGGCTGGACCTGTTCCACATCGTGTGGCGTCAAAGCGCCCCCCCCCCCTTTACATTTGTTGATTGGTTTTATTCTGCCTTGGAGACAGGATCTCATGTAGCCCAGGCCAGCCTTGAATTGACTATGTAACTGAGGCTAGCCTTGAACTCCCAATCCTCCTGCCTCTGCTACTTGTGTGTTATCACCCCTTTATAATGACAAATAAAACAAAATAAGAAAATAATCCAGGAGCCTTGATACACTGAGAGTTAGTCTCTAAAAGGGAGGTGTCCTCCCGTCACACAGTCTGGCAGAGGTGAAATCAGTTAATTCTCAGTACACTGATGCCCAATAATATAAGGGGAAAATTCACATACACACAGTGATTAAAATTCTGGCCCAGGGGCTCGGCAGTCTTCTGACAGCATTTTGTATCATATGCTATAATTCTACAACCCAGGCTACCGGCAGATCTTTGCTTATTCATCAGTACCAGGTCCTGCACACCTAGGTGCATCACACCAGCCAAATTTTTAAAAATCAAGGCATGACAAAATCAGAAAATGACTGAAACACACTTATGCAGTCCGAACTGTGCCTGAGGAGGCATGGAAATGGGAAATCAAGCTGACAGTCTGCCCTGGGCCACACTGTCATTCACTCTTACTAATAAACCTACATATTATGCCCCACACCAGAGAAACACACAAGGCAAAACATTTGCACCCTGGGATAAAGGATGCAAAGGTCACCACGACGATAAACACAAACAACAATGTTACCAGGCCTGGTGGCCCACACCATAATCCTAGCTGCTAGGAAGCAGAGGTAGGAAGAAAGCAAGTTCAATGTTGGCCTGGGTATAGAACAGGTCGCTGTTTCAAAAGAAAAAGAGAAATTTTAAGAGGACTGGGATGTAGCTCCATGGTACCTAACTTGCTTAGCACACACAAAGCTCTGGGCTTAATCCCTGCTTTAAAAAAAAAAAAAATCACAACAAAATTTACCAGGGCTGGGGATATGGCTCAGTGGTAGACCCTTGTCTAGCACACATGAGGCCATAGGTTTGATTCCCAACACCACAGGACAATTTTTAGAGTAATACTAAGAATAAAACACAGAGTTCCCTATATGGCTTTGGTCCCTTCCAGGAAAGGGAAACCTCAGCTGTCATTAGTTACAGGCTCCACAATCAAACAGTCCCTTCACTGACACTGTCCAGTCGACACTAGGAAACACCCGACCTCACTTTCAGACACGATAGTCACATGAACAAGCTGGTCGCCGGGCCGGAGCACATGGAACACACTGACTCCAGTCTTCCGAACTTGTTTCTTTAACTCCTCTGGTCATTGTATCTAGTCTCTACTCTCCCTCACGCACGCTTTGATTTCCTTAAGTCACCTTACGCCACCAGGCAGGGATTTTTGTCTGGTTTGTTCCTAGAATTCCATCTGGCACAGCTCAGGGGCTCCGTAACGTCTGTTAAACAGATGAATCATGTTCTCTGTTCAAACTAGGTCTATCTAGTCCACAAATACTTAACAAATGCCCAAACACTCATGTGCGTTGCCACCCACGGGGGCACACAGAAATGCAGGACACGAAGCCCTTGCCTTCCACGGCTCCCAAAATACTGACGGAAGTAGAAAAACACACAGGCAAGTATCCGACGGCCCACCCCTGACTGAATGGAGGCCAACAGTCCTTGGATGCTTGGGACCTATGGGCTCACAGAAGCTGCACCTGAACCAGCTACGATGGAGGAAGCAGGACCCAGGGGTGCAGAGGAGGTGGCCAGGATATCTCAAGTAAAGGACACTGATAAGTGCCGAGACCAGGAGATGAGAAGGGTTATGTAGGACTGAGAGCAGGGCTCGGGGAAGTGGAGGAAGAGCTTTATCAGTGTGGACTAAAAGACGCATCAGAGGAATGTGAACTTGACCCTGGGGGCAACAGACCCCTGAAAGTCCCTGCCCCTCCCTGCAGCAGCTCCAGCACCAAGCATCAGGGGGGGTGGGGGGGCCACAGCAGAGGACGGGGGGGGGGGGGGGGGCCCCCCCCCGGGGGGGGGGGGGGGGGGGGGGGGGGGGGCACCTACCTGGTGTGCTGCTGGAGGTGGGAGAGCTGTCGGAAAGACTTGTCACAGTAGGAGCAGTGGTAGGGCTTGACCCCCAGGTGGATGCGCAGGTGCTGAGCCAGGTAGGAGGCGTTGGCGAAGGACTTGGAGCAGTGCGGGCACTTGTGGGGCTTGGCCTCTGTGTGTGACTTGGAGTGGATCTGCATCTCTGACTTGGTGAAAAAGGTGAGCGGGCACACCTTACACCTGCAGGCAAGAGGCAACTTCACACCTGGGAAGATCCCCCACCCGCTTCTGTCCATCTCCAGGGAGACCTTCTCTAGCCAAGAGACCATGTGCCTGGGGCAGAGTCTACTTGTGGAGTCCAGAGGACAGGGATCCACTCGGGAGAGTCAGAGGCAAGTTCCAGCACAGGCACCTTCTAGTCTGGAGGGAGCTCTGACATCTGGGAACATCTGTAGCTGTCTGGGGAACAGGGCTACATACAACCACAGGGAAGCCAGGAAAGACCTTGCCTATAGCCACACCTGTGGTCCCCGGGGAGGAGGTTCTCACAGGCTAAGTTATTCTGACCTGGCTGTGTGTTAGAATCTTCTGGAACCTTTTTCTTTTTTTCTTTTTTGTTTTTCGAGACAGGGTTTCTCTGTGTAGCTTTGTGCCTTTCCTAGAACTCATTTGGTAGCCCAGGCTGGCCTCGAACTCACAGAGATCTGCCTGGCTCTGCCTCCTGAGTGCTGGGATTAAAGGCGTGAGCCACCACCGCCCGGCCTTCTGGAACCTTTTGACAAGTACAGATGCCTAGCTCCCTCCCGCCACCCAACTAACTCAGAACTTCTGGAGGTCCAGCCCTGGCAGTAGCATGTTGTGAAAGCTCCTCAGATGTTTTCACATGGTCCAGACAACTCTCATGGATCAAGGAAGGCCAGGACTTGTAAAACTCCAGACACCTGCCCTGGACCACCTTTGATGGAGCTAAACTCTATTCCTCTTCCCGCCTTCTCCCTGATGGCCCGGTATGTTGGTGGGACTCTACCCTGCTCTTCGAATCTTAGCTCCCCACCCTTATCCCCTGGGGTCCCACTTTCTAGCTCTAGGCACACATCTCCACCGCAACCCCACCCAGACCCCGTCTGAAGAGACCCTCACCTGTATGTCTTGCCCTCCTTTGCGGTCTCACCGGAGGCCAGGATGGGGTAGGGGACAACAAGGACAGGGGGACCTCCTGGGTTCTCTGCCTTGATCTTTTTGCGGCCGCGTTCAGACTTGGGGGGGCCAAGGAGGCCATGACCCTGGATTGTCTTGATGGAGTCCAGGAGGGGGGGGCTGGTGATCCCTGAGATGAGGGTGGGGGATGAGGCGATGAGGCGGCTCTGGCTGGTGGTGGTAGGTGTGGACGGGGTACTGGTGCCTGTGCCAGTGCCTGGAGTTGACTCAGATGTACTCACAGCAGGGGTCCGAGAGGAAAGGCCCAGACCTGGGAAGACACACACAAGGGGGCAGGATGAGGACAGCTAGCACAGGCCACCCAGCTCTGTGACTGACAGGTCCTCTTGCCCTTCTGAGCTCTTCCCAATCCTAAATTCAGGGCTACGACAGCTTACAGCTGTGTAAAATGCCTTAGAGAAGATGAAGGCTAGTTAGATTAAGAAGTCAGTTTAAGCACTCGGGAGGCAGAGGCAGGTGGATCTCTGTGAGTTCGAGGCCAGTCTGGGCTACCAAGTGAGTTCCAGGAAAAGGCGCAAAGCTACACAGAGAAACCCTGTCTCGAAAAACCAAAAAAAAAAAAAAAAAAAAAAAAAAGAAGTCAGTTTAAGGGCTGAAGGTCTAGCTCACTGTAGAGTGCTGGTCCAGCACAAGACCTTGGGTTTGATCCCCAGCACTACAGAAACCAAGAAGCACTCTAGAGATAATTCCACCCACAGAAAAAGTCCCGGGCACACAGACATTCACCTCCGTGTTATTTATAATAGCAAAATTTCAGAGGCAACTGAATTATGCAAATTGGGGAAGGGCTGGGTAAACAGTGGTCAGCCTGCGCTTCCTAACTTCCCATTATCTTTGTTTCAAAGGGCTGTGTATGCGTGCACAGGAAAAACAAACAGCCGACGCGCACAAACGTGGTGTGGGGGCAGGGCAAGATGTAAAAGCCATGGCTTAACTGTTTTCCGATCCCATAGCAATGAAGTTTGAAGGAGAAACCCCCCCAAATTCCGTAATGACAGTTTCTATTTATTAGTTTTGCTTCTTGAGACAGGGTCTCCTGTGGCCCAGGCTGGCCTGGCCTTGAAGTCCTAAACCTCTTGCCTCGGTCTCCCACATGAACTACTGTGCCCGCCCAGGTGAAAAGTCATTCTTTGAAAGAAGAAGGTAGAAATGGAGTCATGGCTGCCTGGAGTCCATGCACTCGGGAGGCTAAGCTCGGGGTGGCCGGGTCCAGGCCAGCCTAGACGACACAGGGAAAAGGAAAGAAGGGGCCACGAACATCTGTAACCGTAACTTTAGTAGGTAAAATATGATGCTAGTATGTATCATCTGACTCATTTTAAAATCTATTTCTATATATTTTTCAATATGCCAAAATCTGTGCATCAAAATAAAATCCAGGGTTGGTGTGGGTATCATTTGGGCCACTGGTAGCAGGAATGTATACTTATGCAGCCTCCACTGAGGACAGTTGGCAGTAGATATTAAAAGTTTAATTAATGCTCATAATTTTTAACCGGGCAATTGATTCTACTTCTAGAAACTACCATAAGGAAACAATTGTGCCTGAGCACAAAGATGCGGGGTTTTCCACACAGAGCTGGGATTCCACACACGGTATAAAGTGCTTGTCCTCAACAAGGGCTGCGGATCGGGAAATGGGACCTTTACGGCCACCAAAACAGGACAGCTGTAATGCCAGGCACACAGGGAAATGCCAGACTGTGCAAGCTCACAAGGGCCCATCTACCCCAGAAAGCACACGCTAACTACACAAGCAGACACCACACCATGAGTGTGCCAACAGGGAGGGAGGCAGACCCGAGAGGCTCCTGCCGGCTAACACGGTTCTCTTTAACAAAGGAGGGGAATTTTTGGTCATGGGGGATTTTCATACTTTGTCTGTCTGCTTCAAAATTATTTGAATCTTTTACTCGGTGAAGTCACCCATTTTTAAACATCTGTGATTAAAGGATAAAGTAAATTACAGGGGAAATATACATAAGAATGGTAACAATAGCAGAACCAAGGCTAAACATCTCTGCTTTCAGGTTCTCTGATATTCCTAGGTTTTCAGTAATGGCCATGTTATTACCTTTACAATGAAAGTACAACACAGATGTCTGGGATAGAATGGCAAATAGGAAAAAAAGTTAAATCACTGACACAATCCTGCCACACACACAGCAAACATGTACATATTAAAAAACAAACAAAAATATGGAAAAGGAAAAAATGCACTTAAAAGAGTCTCTAAGATTTTGGGTTAAGAGGGAAAAAAAGATTCTGGGTTAGGCACTGGGGATTATGAGTAATTTTTTTCTTAGTTCCTCCTTTTTCCAAATTTCCCTTAATTTGCTTATATTGCTTTTTTAATATTACTTTTACAATGAAAAAATAAATTTAATAAAATCATAATAACGGGAGATTGCAGAGTGCAGCTGGGGCCTGGGGAGGCTCACAGGGCCCACGATTTGGGGGCGTCTCTAAGAGAAGGGGGAGAAAGTCACTTGGCTGGTGGCAGAGGTGAGCCGCTGAGGGAGCAGACCCGGCCTTGGTGGCCTCCTGACCCTCGCTGGGTGTTCCCCCTGCACCCCAGTCTCAACCTACTCAACAGTGAGCTGTTCCTCGGCTGATCCCATCCCAGGAGCACAGCCCTGGGAGTCTCCCACACACCTCCTTCTCTGCACTCTTTACATCCTGACCAGCAGAGATGCCTCTCCGTGCCTTCGGATCAATCCACTTCTCCACATCCCCACAGCTCTGTGTGGTCCACCTCACTATCTTCTCCAGAAGCTTTCCCTGCCTCTGTGCTGGGCCCAGAACCCCGTCTCCACCTCAGGACCAGACTAGATTTCCTAAAGCCTTGCCTCCCCGCTGTTCCGGGGGGGGGGGGGGGAGTCCAAACTGCTGAGTGCGGACCACAGTGACTTCTGCCTTGCTTTTCTCCTCTGCTGATAGAGACAGCAGGCTGGCTGGGCTGCATGGAGATGCTGGTTAATTACCAAACATTGCCTGTTCTTCACCCCAGCACTGGCAAACCCCTTCACCAGGGCGCTGTGAGGAAAGACTGTTACTAGGCACACACAGGTGTTAACTGAAGTCACTACCACACCAGAATCCCCCAGCCCTCCCCAACTAAACAACCTGCCCTCTGGCCTTCTACACACTGCTCCCTCGGCCAGGGCCCTTCCATCCTCCGGCCCCACCACCCAAGTCTGCCTTGAGTCTTTCCTTTTCTTCTCCTCTATCTGTTGAAACTTACGGGGTTCTGCGTCCTCTGAGGATCTCACTTTCCTAGTAAGCTTCCAGCTGTTGGGAAGGGATTCTCATAGCTCAAGGTCAGAGGAAGCCTGGGAGCTACGGCTAGCACCCACTAGCCCTTCCACCAAGCTTCCCCTACAACCCTTCCCGCCCACTCTGGTCCCATCTGGTCAGGTCCTACCATCACCAAGTCCCACCTGGACCAGCTCCTGCCCCAACGTTCTTTACAGACCTTGCCAGCCCCGCCCACTCCACAGACTCCACCTACTCTCCCTACCTCCTCCAGCCCCGCCCACTCCACAGACCCCACCTTATCTCCCTACCTCCTCCA